CTCTCTCTCTCTCTCTGTCTTGTGCTCTCTCTCCAGAGGGAGTCCCAGTTGGTTTTCATCAGAGACAGCCTGGAGCTGATTTCTGATCTCTATGACAACTTCACCTCCAGTACCTGGGATGCCGTCAAGACCGAACACTTCCTGATAATCATCCACAGCCAGACGCACGGACTTAACAGCTGTGTGAGTAGACAGACAGACAGACAGACAGACACTTCAACTCCTTTCAGCTCTTCACTTTAACTGATACTTAAAGTCCTTTTGGAGACACTTTAACTGACATATTTGAGTTTATGGACTGTGCTTGGATTTTAAATGGCACTTTGAGTACTTATATTTTAATTTCATTGTTCACTTGCACTGACATCAGCATTCCAGCTCTTTTGACACTTCAAGCAACGTTTCAGCTCCTTTCAGCACTGACATCTCAACTGACACTTAAAGTCCTTAGTGCTTACACTTCAAGTGACATACACCCTCTTATATTTGACCTATTTGACTCATATATTACCAAATGACTACTATACTCTTTAACTGAATATGCTGAATCCGATACAACAGCCTTTATCTTTAGCTTCAGGTTTTACCACCAAACAGAAAAACAATCTCACTTGTGTTTTTGTCTTCAGGTGTCAACTAAGAAGCGAGCGGACAACAGACTGAGAAGATACTACAAGAGACTGGCCAGATGCACTCTGGACCGCACCGTAAGTACACGTACTGTGTTACTATGCACTGTAAAATTGTGTTCACTGGGTAAAGTAGTGGAACTGAGTGCTGTTCTGTGTGTACAGGGGCGAAGTGCTGCATCCTGGGAGCTGATCAGGAAGGAAACTAAACTGCACCTGGATCAGTTGCACATGCTGGTGGCCTCCATCAGAGTTTGAGAGATTGAGTTACACCAACTCAACGCCAACACTGGAATGTCTCATCTGTCTGTCTCACTGTCTGTTTCATTGATTCTGTTTCTCTGTGAGAGACGCAATCTGCTAGCTGTCGTCATTCTATGTCATTATTTATTATATTTATGCACTCTATTTGTATTTATTTATTTAACTTTGACCATTTTGTATTTAAAGACTGAGTCTTGAAAACATTTCTAACTGACCACAATAAAGATATTTCATACATCTCTGTATTTTGGAGTTTCATTCCCATGTCGTTAAATACTGACGCTTTGTCACAGCCCCCAGCGCACCGGGCTTCCATGGAAACCCATCTGCTTCAGGGCATCTACTATAAGAAGCAGTTCCACACCTGGATGTGGTGGGGATGGCTCAAACTAACTCAGGACTTTCACCCAGGTCACTGGAGTTTCCAACATGTAACTAACAGTTAATGTTGAGTTATTTTAGGTTTTAGGTTAAGTTAGGTGCATCACATGACTTGCAGCGTCATTTACATCACGTGATTTACATAATGTAATGTTATTGTAACCCAGACCATGATCTTTTACTACACCTAACCTTTTGAATTGGGCTTTGTTTGAACCACTGACGTATGTAAAGTTGGACAACACGCCAGCACTCCAACAGTGAAGCCAAAACACCTGTATCACCCTCTGGTGGCTGACTGCAGTAAAGGTAATATAGCCTGCTGTCTCCATGTTAGCAGATAAGACAAACTAAATAATCAAAGTACACGTCAAATACATTTTTCCCAAGGAGGGTTCCTGTCATTTTAGGTAGTT